AAGATCATGTTCCATGAAGATATTTTGTAAATCTCCTACCGTAAATATATCAAAACTTCGTTTTTGATTAGTAATATGCATTGCTAAGTACTTCATTAAGACAACTTTAAAGGCGATATTTTTAATATTTAGATTTTTTTGCACCCTCAGATTCCAGATTTTCAAATAGTTGTATCTCAATCTCTGTATTTATTCTCAATCTCAGTAAAAAAAAAAAGACCCTTATGACTGGTTTTGTGGTCCAGGGTCACAATTGCAAATAAACCTGGATTTATCTCAAGGTTCTGTGAGGAAACTCACCTGTATATGAGGATGTCGTCGGTGGAGCTGTTGTACTGGATCTGGTACATGCGAACTCCAGGGATTTGGCTTTGCGGAGGCCAGCGGATCATCGCAGAGCTTGAGGTTATTTCCGAGACACTGACCCTCTGATCAGCTCGAGCCTGGCCGCCGCTACCACTGCTGTTGGACTTTATAGAAGTCGGCATGTCCGAGGGTCCCGGCTCCGGCTCCAGTTTGGGGTCGTAATGCGGCGAAGGGTTCACGACTAATTCCACAGGAGCCGTGGCCTCGCCGGCTGCATTCGAGGCTATGCAGGTGAACACGCCGGAGTCCTTCACCGTGGCTGTTAAGATTTCCAAAGAGCCGTTCTCGTAGCATATGGTGCGCGAGGTGTTTCCGATTAGCTTCCCATCTGGACTGACCCAGTGGACGGTTGGCTCGGGGTCTCCCACGGAGCGGCATCGCAAACTAACCTCTTGACCCTCCATGACGAACATCTTGGAAGTGTGCCGGGTGATCATAGGCGGCTCGCAGACGAACTCTTCCTCGCGAATCGTCCAGAAGTACTTGCCGGCCAAGTCTTGCGGGGACGCGCATGTCTCCAGATCGTCCTCCCGCGTCAGGCGGCGCAACCAAACCAGCTCGCAATTGCAATGCAATGGGTTCCCGCCGAAACTGAGCACCAGCGCGGTCAGCGGCGAGCCTTTCATTTTGGCGTAGACGGGGATTCGTAGGAATAGAGGATCTGGGGGGAACTTCTTCAACTTGTTGGATGTCATATCAAGTCGGGCGAGTTTATGAAGATTGGAAAATATCCCTTCGGGAACAAACTCGATGAGATTGTGGTCCAAACTGAGGGTGTTGACGCTGGCTAGCATGGCTATAGTGTCCCACGGCACGTCCACCAGGTTGTTGTAAGAAAGGTCGAGGTCCTCGAGAGTTTCTAGGAAGTCTTGGAAGGCTCCGTCGGAGATGCTGTGAAGCTGGTTGTTGGCGAGGATAAGGTGGCGCAGATTCACAAGCCCCTGCAGATGGGTGTCGTCTAGCACCGTGAGCCGGTTTGCGTCCAGATGCAACGCGTGCAGATCCTGCAGGTCAGTGAAGGCGTACGGTCGGATCTGGCTGATGGTGTTGCGGGAGAGCGTGAGGTGTATGAGGCTGCTCATGTTAGCGAAGTCTTGGTGGCGCAGGGTGGTGATGAAGTTGTCCATTAGTCGCAGCTCGGCGGTCTGCCGGTCGATATTAGGCGGCACGAAGAGCAGGCCGGTTTTGGCGCACAGCACGGTGTACGAGGGCAGCAGGTTCTGGCAGGTGCAGCGTTTGGGGCACAGCATGGCGTAGGACGGCATGGAGAACAGAGCCAGGCACAGCAGCAGTTGCTCCATGGGTGCGCTCCTACAGGAATCAGAGCACAGAGGAAAACGGGTTAGCTCTCATGGTGAGTCTCTTCCCTCTGTCTGCGAGTCTCTTTTGACACACTATAACCTCCCCAAACACACACACACACACACACACACACACACACACTCATGTCTGGTCAGCTATCCTTGTGGGGACTCTCCATAGGCGTAATGGTTTTTCTACTGTACAGACCGTATATTCTATTGCCCTACACCAACCCTACCCCTAAACCTACCCCTCACAGGAAACTTTCTGCATTTTTAGATTTTCAAAAAACTTCATTCTGTATGATTTATAAGCTTTTGTACCCGTGGGGACCACAATTTAGGTCCCCACCGTGACACGAGTCCCCATGAGTCTGTGTGTAGTCAGGTTTAAGTCCCCACCAGGATATATAAACCTGTACACACACACACTAAGTAACTCACGCTCTCTCATGCACGGTCAAGAGAGTGTTTTATTAAACATGCAAAGATTGTCGGGCACATTAAGACACAAATCAGTGAAAGGTAAAGTTGAGCAGACTTCGCAGCCGGTGGTGAGGTTATACCTACTAGCATGTATCAAAACATTTGCAAATGCCCAGCTGGACTTGCATTCACCCTATGCACATTTCCCTAATCAAATTAGTGCATTAACATTTTCTAACAACATGGTGTCTGCGTTTCCCACATCTATGGTTGCAAACTGGCATATTATGCATGAAACTATTCTTCTAGCTGGATTTTTTTTTTTTTTTAAAGGGACAGTGCCCCCCAAATTAGTTGTCCTCATGTATGGATGTATGAAACAAAAATATTGACATGTAAAAAAAAAAAACAATGCAAAACATTTTTTATATATAAACACACATTCATTGACAAGCTTTGGCATCAATGCACTCAAACTGACTCAATATTTTTATGACCATTGACTGTTCCTGTATCTGGAAATGTAGGAGAAATAACATTTTTATAATATTTTTTTTCTAAACAATACTTAATATTTTTATAATACTTACAAATTATATTTTTAAATTACTATTTCATATTTTAAACTTGATCTTATAGTTACCCACTTATTATTATTATTATTATTATTATTATTATTATTATTTATTTTTTTATCATTATAATTATTATAATTATTATTAGATACAGTAAAATGCCCGAGCTTCTTTTTCCACACAATAGAAGTGAATGGTGACCATGGCTGTCAGGCAAGATTCTCAATGAAGACTAATATCCAGTTTCGATTAAATTCCTCACACAAAGCTATGGCTTCAGAAGACTTGGAATACAGTGCACAGATCCTGTGAACAACTTTTATGGAGCTTTTTTCCTCCGTTATTTATTTATTTTTTTATCATTATAATTATTATTTAGATAGATAGATACAGTAAAATGCCCGAGCTTCTTTTTCCACACAATAGAAGTGAATGGTGACCATGGCTGTCAGGCAAGATTCTCAATGAAGACTAATATCCAGTTTCGATTAAATTCCTCACACAAAGCTATGGCTTCAGAAGACTTGGAATACAGTGCACAGATCCTGTGAACAACTTTTATGGAGCTTTTTTCCTCCGTTATTGAGCTTGAGAGCCCCTGGTCCACATCCACTCCCATTGAATGGGGAAAAAAAAAAAAAACATCATCTCAGACCTTCTGCTACACATCACCTTTTGTCAAAAATAAAGTCATATGGGTTTGTAATATCATGAGGGTAAGTAAATGACGATACAATTTTCATTTTTGGATGAACTCTATCTTTAAAGCATGCCGGTACTTTTAACGCTTGGATAAAGATGATGTTTCTAGTGCATCGACGCTGAGAAACTGCTTATTTAATTTCACCAAAGCTGATGTTAAATGCAAGATTACTAGATATTATCGCACAGTGTGGATGTGTTAATGCAGGCGTCTATTCTGGGTTATATAAAACTGCTGCCTCTGCCTTCCATAACATATGCAGGATCTGCAACGGGAGCAAAAGAGAGAGAAAGAGAGGAGGGGCGGCTATAGTTTCACACCAAAACCAATGAGCAAGAACGCGAAAACGAGAGAAAGAGTTGGAGGACGTCTCCTTCGGATCCGGCTGGTTTTAATAGCCCTCCGCTGTGCGAAAGTCAGGATATTTGACACCCGCCTCTGCCCCCCGGAAATTCATATGTGGCACGGCGCGGCGATAAAAAAGGCCACGGGAATATGAATTATTATTCTACGCCATTGCTTTCGCACGAATGCTAATATCTGATTTGTGGCTCTTTGTTTATTGCTTGTGCATACCATTCCATTTTAATAACTTTTATGTAAAAGCACCTAAACACAATTATTTTTTCACCGCTCGCAAAGCCATCCTGAATATAAAGAGGTTCAGGCCCAGTGCTTATCTGCCAGGGATCTTTGGCTGTCACGAGGATTGTTTTACTTCTTTCAGACGGTAGGGGGAAACATTGAGCTTCATTTTGGGCACAAAAGGGCCGACTGGCAGGAGAAAAACACAGAAGTGCTTGAGTGCGAGATGGTGTAGTTGCAGTGTGATGCATTCAGGCGAGCTTAAGCCCCCTCTCTCCATTACACACAGAAAACAGAGTCACGGAAACCCTCAAGAGAGAGCCATTATCCAGACAACTAACTAAGAAGAGCACTAAAGCAGTCTCTCACTTTAGTTTGCGCTGGCTTTTTAGAGGCACATATATGCACTCGCATATGCATTTGCTCCAATATAGGCATGCGAAACAGCCATGTATAAATGGAAAGGCTTGATAGACTTCCAGATATTGCACCAGGATAGTTTCTCCCAGTCAAACTAAGCGCGAGCAGGATTGCAGGAGAACCGGAGAACGATTACACACAGACGCCTCCTTAGGATGCCCCATGCCCGCATTTAATTCCAGAAACACGCTGACAACGTGATACTGTGCCGTGTTGTGTCATTATGACAATGTGAGATTAAATGGATTTATTTCAGGGGATAAATGGATATCAACTGATTTCGTTGCAAAGCATAAATGAATTTCAGTGCAGAAACGTGGTTAAAATACAGTGGGAACACCTCAAGTGTTTCTAATTAGACCAAGATGAAATGTCAACGTGGTCAACATTTTACCCTGGCATCCATCTCCCCCTCTCTCTCTGCATATCGGCAGGATTCATTAATATTTCAGAGAGGACACAGGCTGCTGTGTGGGTATTTGGCACAGTGTGTAAAAATTAACCCCTACTGTGCTGGAGCTCTTCTCTGGCAAAGGAAGAGCAAACACACATAATGCATTATCATCCGTATGAATACTTTATAAAGACTTTAGAGTAGAATTATCAGAAGATCAGAAGTCGCTATTTTCCAAAAAAGCGCACAAAGAGTAAAAATGATGCAATAAAGGTTAGAATGAAGCATTAATGTGAGATACCAGTACTGATAAACAGTGCTGGGTAGATTACTTACAAACTGTAGTCCATTGATTACAAATTACATGACGAAAAATGTAATCAGTTGCGTAATCTATTAGATTACACATTTTAGGTAGTCTAATTGGACTACTTTTGGATTACTTTTGACCTAACTCGTTTATCACATTTGATGAGAAGGATTATTTTGTACCACACTCGATATAAAAATACAAAGAGAAAGAAAATATATTCCATTCTTAGTTATCAACATCTTGAAATGCACTGAACGTTATATTACACCACTGCGGTTTGTGAAAGACCTTCAGGGGTTTGTGAACTGAAATAAGCTGATGCTTAATTAAATCACAATTAACAATGTAGCATAATAATAATACTACTAATAATAAATAAATAAAAACAGTAAAATATACCTACTAAAAAGATATAGGTAACACTTTACTTAATGCCTTTATACATAATGCATTATAAAATAAGTTTAAATGCATGAATTATGCTTTGTAATGCACCTTATAATGCATTGTATGAGCTCATGAATAATAGTAACCGCAGTTATAATACATTATAACACTTAGCTAGTCTTAGTTACAGTTGTAATGCATTATAAAGGCTTTAAGCAAAGTGTTACCAAGATATTTTATGATTACATAATCCAGATTGCATATAATAAGCAGCAGTACTGATAAATATGTCCTGTATCAATAGGAAATCATGAATGTAAATCCATATATTCAGCAGTGGCTATCAAGGCCAACTTACTATACAGTCGAGGTGGGTTATACATAAGCAGATTAGTTGGTTTGCAAGATGCAAGATATCGTTGAATATGTATGGTGGTCATCAACAGTGTTAAGGATAATGCATTACAAGTAATGTGAGTTACGTAATCAGATTACTTTTTTTTTCAAGTAACTAGTGAAGTAATGCATTACTTTTTAATTTGCAAGAAAATATCTTACTTTTGAGTTACTTTTTCAAATAAATGATGCCAGTTACTTTGTTTTCCCATTTACTGACTGTCCAGCTCCATTTTATATTAAAAACAAACAAGCAAGCCTAGCCCAGATTTTAAAAGTAATGTAAAAGTAACACAAAAATTACTTTCCATAAAAAGTAACCAAGTAATGTAATTAGTTACTTTTTGTTTTAGTATTGTAATGCATTACTTTTAATAGGAACATTCCCCAACACTGGTCATCAAATGGTCATTGATCAAGGTGGGTGGTTTAAAGGTTATAAGGTCAAATTTAAAGCACTGTGCATTAAGTGTAAACCAGAACTGGTCAGCATTGCACCTTTAAGACATCCATGCAAATGGAGACAGGACAATGTGACAGGGCATTGCTATTACTGTAGTTAAATCTACTGTAAAATGCTACTGCAGTGAGAAACCATTCAAATGTAGCTGTGCAAGCAATATCAAAATGTGTCCTTTTTTGGTTTCCTATGACAATGGTTCAGAATATTTTGTTCGTTCCATCAGGGATTTATTATCATTGAGAAATAGCTGCAAGGTAGGATACACACAATTCCAGTCGCTCTGTGTCCTTATTTAAAGAATTCAGGACAAAAAATCGACTGAGAGATTAAAATACTGCTTGCTCTCAG